AAACCCACTCCTTCTCTAGCAAGTCTGGCCCCCAGAAAAGCTCACTGGCACTCCACAGCTACACTGGCACTCCAATCACTCAGCTATCCCTTCCCACTCTCCCTCCACCACACTCAGTTTAATCTCAGCCTAGGCCAGTCAATTCCAGTCCAAAAATGCCAGCCTTTCTCTTCACTCATTTCTCCTCAGAGACCCTCCTAATTTCTCATCACTTCCAGTATCTCCACAGAGATACACTCTAGAACATTCTAGAATGTCAGCCTCTAACCAGTAAAACTGAGCAGTCATTTGGCAGCAGTCAAGAGTATGGGCACTGGAGAAAGACCTTCAGCTTCAGACCATATCTCTAGGGAATACAGTCTAAGACCCCCACTGGATGTGTGAAACTACAGGTAGCAGCAAACACTATGTACAAACACTCCAACTCTGTGATACTATCACAGTGGGGCTGATAACCAAGATGGCTACCAAATGACTGTCAGGTGGGTAATGTATACAGCATGTATACACACTGGGGAATAGAATGATTCCTGTTCTGTGTGGGGAGGAGTGGAACAGAACAAGATTTCATTCTGCTGCTCAGAACAGCTCATAATTTAAGAAATCAATTTTAATTAATGGGATTTTTCCATTTAATATTTTTTAACCATAGCTGACTTCAGGTAACTAGAAGTATGAAGAGTGAAACTGCAGAGGGAAAGTGAGGTGACTGTCCCATGGAGATTGACAGTCTCTCTCAGATTTGGCCATTTCTTGGACTGTGAACAACTATGCAAGCCAACTCAGCCAGAGCCCAGCCCCTGTAGCCCAGACATAAGTCCCTTCTCTAGTTACCCCAGGGCCAGGACCAGGTATCCAAGGATAGTGCCTATCCCACAAGGCCTTCTGAAATTATTCTCACCAGGCAGACTTAGGCCTGCGTGACCATGGCTTTTCTTGGAAGCTTTAATAAATTATTTTCCTAGTTCCCTCCACCTCCTGACCAGCTCCAAGCTTCCCCGTACCTTACCTACTGCATGATGCCCTCCCTTCCTCTTGGAAACTGTGAGTAACAAACTATCGTTTCAATGGCAATTACTCTCTGATCTATAGTCTTGATATACCAAAATGATAATAAAAGTAAAATACAACCTACGTTTTAAAACATCAAGGGTTACCGAGTCTTTTCAACTGGGGGTGATAACAGGACTCACTACATGCGATGCTTATGGGGATTACACGAGCACGTCAGTGTAGCACGGACAGAAATACATGCAGTCCCCAGTCATGGCTCTATACGCTATTGTTCCTCCCATCATTTTATGCTAGAGAGGGAGATGACGGAACCAGGGGAGAGAGAAGGCAGACACTGCTCAGCAGGGAAGGGTGCAAAGGATCCCAGTTCAGAGCACAATGCCATCCTTTTGGCTGCTGTGGCTTAGGGTCTTCAGTGCCCACAATATCCTCCAGACATGAGGACCCATTTATCAGAGAGAGAGAGAAACTTAAGTTCAAAGAAGAGAAGCCACTTTCCTGGGATCTCCATGCTGGGGGAAGTTGTATGTCTCCAGTAGTGAAGCCAAGGCTCAAACAGACCCACACCTAGGCCCATGGGCTGTTGACTCCCAGGGTGTGTTCTGAATAACCTCATCCAGCAACATTTAAAACAGAAGAGACACACTTCGTCACAATGTGATGATGGCAGCAGGAGTGTGGCAGGATCTCAAACCCAGCACTCCACGTATCATAGTTCCCAGTGTGTGGGAATGGGAGGCGTCTATGCTTCATGAAAAGACATGAGCAGTGTTCTTTTCTTGGAGAGATATTTATGAAGCAGCCGATAACTAGTCAGGATATGAGGTACGTGGTGGAATTAATATAATGAGAATGTAGATCAGCCCCTTGTCCAGACTGGAGGTGGCTCATACTTTAGTCAGAATCTCTACTGTCCTAGAGATAATGAACTATTACAAGACAAACACAGGGTGATAGGAAAGGACAGTTAGAGGGCTGTGAGAGGTGAAAGGAAGGAGAAAGAGCTTGCAGCTGAGGAACCCAGGGAAGGCTTCCTAAGCAGGAGGCATTATGACCGTTGGAATTATTTTTCAGCAAATACACTTTCTTCCCCTCCCCAAGGAGAACAACGCTCACCATTGATGTTACGGCAGAGCCATGTGATTTGCTATGGCCAAGGGGCGGTTAGTGACCTTAAGGAAAACAGACTTTTGTCTGTTCTAGCCTCACTCAGGGGGACTTTGGTCTCATGTTACATTACATAGGTCTAGTTTCAAAGCAGTGGATGGAATAAATGGCTATAAAATAGTCTATCATTTAAGTATATCTGTATTTGTGATACTAGGGTTTCTTTAACTATTTAAAAAACCATTGTGGTGTATGTCTTTGCTCCCTATTTTCTTGGTGTAATATTTTAGAATTAGATTTACCACTTGTTATAAAAGGAATGAAAACATTTAAAGCCCTTGACAAATTATTATGATATTCCCATCAGAAGAATTAAGTATTTTCATTTATTTAGTATTGATTAATTTGTCAACTTGATGGGTGTGAAATAACTTTTCATTCTTGCTTCAATTTGCTTGTCTATCATTTTGATATGGTTAATAGAGTTTTCTTGCAACACATATTTTCTTCCATAAATTATCTGTGCTCAATCCTTTTTTATGTGAGGTGTTTTCCCTGTATTCATTTATACGAATTGTTCATACATTAAGGTTGGTAGCTATTTTTCTGGACATATACGAACACACAAGTGAACGGCCTGGCTTGTGTTGCCTTTCTATGCTGAAAACCTAGCCCAGTTCTGGGCACACAGTCAGGTTTTAATCAATCTTGGAGACATGATATCATATGCAGGTTCAATGCACAGATTCTAGAAACAGTGTTTGGGTTTGACTCTCAGTCTCACTGCTTACTGGCTGTAAGAGTTATTTGGCTTTTTAAATCCCATTTTGTAGCTGCAAAATGAAGATAACAGTGTGTCTGCTCTGGTCTGCGGTGAGGGAGGGGGGCAAGCATTATTAGAGTTGGGTAATTGGTTAATTTCTGCTGTAGGATAAATCACCCCAAAATTAGCAGCTTTAAATAATTTACTTGGTATAAGAATCTATGATTTGCAGTTTGGAGTTGAGCTTGGCGCAGTTATCCTGGTCTGCCCTGGGGCTGGGTGATCAGCTGGATTTATCTGTGCCTCTGTCATCAGCTGTTGCCTGGCTGGGAGCTGGCTGGTCGGAGCAGCCTTGGCCTAGCTCACGTCAGCTTCATCTCTCCCATTCTTGGGCAGACTAGCCCAGTTTGTTCACCTGAGGGTACCAGCATGGGTCTGATTGGAGGTTGCCATTGGCCTCTTAGCCAAAGAAAGGTAAGTGAATAGGCAAAGTGGAAATGGCTGCTATCCACCTGCCAGTCTGCCAGATTCCAAATTCCTACCAACCATGGATGGGGTCTAACTTCTCATCCTCTGAAGCCCGGGAGGCCCAGAGAGATGAAACGACATTGGCAATTGTCTCTCTTCGCAGAGAGAAAGTATCACATAATGGTGTGGCATACAGCTTGGAACCACAGCTGTACTGCCTGCTTTTAAATCCTGACACTGTCACGTATCAGCCACACAGACGCTCCTTGGCTTACCGTGGGGCTGCATCCCAGTGAACACACAATGTGTTGAAAATATCATCAGTCAAAATACGATGAATAAACCTAATTACCCAGCAGCTAGCTCAGCAAGAGTACATTGTAGAGTGTTGGTTGCTATCTCCTCATGGCAGGGAAGCAGGTATCTAGTGGGAGCTGTAGCTCACTGCTGTTGCCTAGCATCTTGAAAGAGAATCATACCACTCTCCTGGAAAAAGATTAGAACTCAAAATTTGAAGTGCTCCTAGCAGGGTGTTGCTAGGTACATGCTAGAACCAAGCTGAGCTTTATCTAGTCTTCACATGTGGCAGTTATTGCTTTCAGCCTCATGCAGGGAAGGAACATGAGTTTCCTAGTCAGGTGGATCTGTTGAAGAATTCCAATTGCAACCATTTAATCCGTCACACCTAAGCTAACTTGAATACCTAATGTGTGATCAGTACCAACAGTTAGAAGTGTACTAGGCAGGGCAGGCAGAGCTCCTGACTTCTGGTGGCTCACATTCTTGAGGAGAGCAGAAGGAGAAAAAGTGGACTCCAGCAGATACTGAGCACCATAAGAGGAGATCTTGTGATCATCTGTTCCCAGGGAAGGTATAGAATAGAAGGAGAACATCTGGTACAGCAGACCAGGGCACTGGTTGTTTAAGCCAGGCAAAGAAGATCCAGGCAGGGAAAGTTTGTAGAGATTAAGACTCTTTGGTACCAGATGGCAGTTGATCATGAAATCCAGGGCCCAAATGATTAGATCAGAGCTGGTCTCCCTGGTGTACCCGAGACAGATTTAGGACCAAGGAACTGGGGCAGAGGTAATAAACTTAGGTGCTAGCCAGTGCAGCGGAAGAGCCCGGTCTCCAGGGGACACCCTGATACAGACCACACCTCCATCTTCTCAGGGTAGAGGTGTGCAAAAGCAGATGCCCAAAATGATTTCCAGTAGGGTGAACTACAGAAAGTGTGAAAACTGCCCACTGTATCCCACTGAGTAACATGAGAGAGGCAAAATGATGTCATCCATCAAACTGTTACATGCACACCATGAACCAAGGATCTCAGTAAAATGCAGACTCTGACTCCTGGGGTGAGGAGTCTGGATTTTTAGCCAGTTCCCAGGTGAAGTGAATTCTGTCCATTTTTAGACCACACCTCACATAGCAAGGCTTAGTAGAGCCAGGCTGTGAGCAAACTCTGGCCCCACCCTGTAGCAGTGACACACCAGCACAGCTTTTCTTCCTTCATTCCTACAGCAGCAAAACGCACAGAAGCCATAGCTGTTTTAGGTATGTTGCAAGCACTTTTCTAATTCTTGCATTTCTTCTGTTTCACTTAATCTACAGTAATCTGTCCCTGTTTATAGACGAGGACACTGAGCATAAGAGCTGCAATCAACCAGGCACAATCTTCAAGTTGGAAGTACTGTAGCCAGGATGCAGACCAAGTCTCTTAGTGTCCGGGGACATTTGATACTGCAGGTGAAGCCCATCTTCGGCCTCATGTAGCGGATCCCCTTTTGGCACCCCGTGTTAGGTCTCCATGGAGCACATCTGATTGCAGCCTCAGCTGTGGTCAGCAGGGGTGACAGCAGCTGAACTCCACAGTGTTTTTCTAATTCCAATTTCTGTGCTTAGACCAGAACTGTGTGTGTGTGTGTGTGTGTGTGTGTGTGTGTGTGTGTGTGTGTGTGTGTAGAAGGGAGGGTGTGCATTACATTGCTTGGGGCGACTTGCCATTGGTGGGACAATGTATTAGCTTTCTGCTTTCAGAGGGTGACTCTGCACATGTCTCTGAGGGCCCAAAAAATTAAGACCCCATTACTTCTAGCCACCTTCCTCCAGTGCATACCCTCACCTCACTGTGCCATTTTCCCTCCCTGTGGCATCCTCTCTGTTCCTTCTCTCCTACTTCCTGGGGCCACTTTCAAAAGAAACTACCTGCACTCCAGTCCTCCTCTTGGGCACTGAGACTGAGGAATGCAGATTTCACAGGAGTCAAAAGGTAGGAGGCTGGGGAACAAGGAATAATGGGGATTGGATATAGGGTTTTAGAGGGCAGAAAGAAGGGAAGGAAGAAACTGATGTGTCGAGTACCTATTGTGCTTCAAGAACTCTACACATCTGCTTCTTCAATTCTCAAACAGCTTATATACTATACTCGGTATTCTCATTTTATACGAGAGTGAGCTTGAATATCTTATTAAGGATCCTCAGAAAGCTAATACTTTGAACAGATTCAAAGTGAGTTCTGTTTAACTCTACGCCCATGTTCTTGTCTCCTAAACCCAAGCATTTCCATGTGGCAGTTTTGCTTGTTCTTCTAATCAGCGCTGTATTCCACAAGTCACAGGGATGACTGTTCCCCCTGTAAGAGTCTTGAGGTCACAGAAAGCAGAGAAGGGCATTTATTTATCTTTCTTTTGTCCACAGCCTGGGTATGGTGATAATGTTTATATAGTTCAGAATAAACACCATGAAGTAGCTGTGATCTTTGACATTTCCCGCTTCTAAAGATAGAGATGGTTATTTACAAATATTTGGACAACTCGTTAGACTTTTCCTTGCTTTTGAAACTGTGTCTGCTTAAGTTATATGTGCTGTTTCTCTTGTTTATACTTACAGATCTTTACACAAACCCCAGGTAATGGCTGGCAAAGTGAACCTGAGAGCTAAGAGCTTGCATAGGCTCTCTGTGGGTTAGGGTCCAGTGTCCAGATGGCCTGGAAGAGACATCCTGTCTCTGTACTGTCTTCTACAGCTGTTACATCTCCTTCCTGACACCTAGCTGCACAGTTCTGAAAGAAAATAAAACAACAAAAATAAGAAAGAGAAAGGAAAGTAGGCTCTTTCTGCGCACCTCCTCCTTTGTTGTAGAGCTCCAAGACTGTCAAAATTAATGTTAGAACGGACTTTAATTTCATATTAAGTGAGTTGTGGGCACAATACATCTATCATTCTGATGCCTACTTCAATCCTTCTTCTTTGTGAAGGAATTATTTGCCCTGTGAAAAGGAATTTATATTTGTTTTAAAACTCACAATTCTGGGGTTAGACATTGGTGTGGTTTGGAGTGCTTTGTCGCCCAAACTTCCATGTGCTGGTAGCTTGTCCCTAGTGTATTATTAGAGGGCATGGAACCTTTAAGATGGGTCCTAGTGGGAAACAACAAGGCTCTGGGCTTCACTCTCATGAATGGATAGATTAGTGCTGTCTCAGGACTGAGTCCCATCTCCTAGGCCAGACTTTCCGGATCCTTTCTGGAGAGGGTGGCTTTTTATAGAAACGAGAAGCCAGGCCCTTTCCGCTCTCCCTCTCTTGCTCACACACATTTCCCTTCTGCACATGTTCTCATTCTGCTTCTCCACCGCATTGTGACACCTCTGGGGGACTTTTGCAAGAACACCACTGTCGTGCTGTTTGGCTCTTCCAACCTCCAGAATTGTGAGCCAAGTAAACCTCTTGTCTCTATAGATTACCCAGCACCAGGTACTCTGTTGTAGCAGCACAAAGAACAATAGGAGATATGGTTAAAAACAAACAAACAAACAAAAACCCTTACAGGACAGGGGATAGAAGTTTGGAGTTCATGGCCAGTTCTACACTGATGCCTGTGTGACTCGAATAAGATGCTGTGACTAACGGTCAGCTGTCCCATGTAAACAGGGGCCAGGGTAGACACACAGCACATCATTCTTTCTCTAGCCATTGACTCTAAGACAGACTTTTCTTTTTCTTTGAGTACATCCAAAAAATAGGATGTTTTCTAATCCCAGGAGTCTCAGATTTATTAAAAGACACGGCTGATAGAACAAGTTATGCATCTGCTCCGAACAAATGAATGAATGAAGCAGAGCCCTAGCCTCCAAGCTTCTGAGAAGGTAACAGCTGACTTCAAGGCCTCCTACGGTGTTTTATATTTTACCTGGTATGATTCCTGTAAAAGTTTATTGGAAAAAAATTAAGGGCCAAATATTCAGCCAAGGCTCATGCTCTCAGACCATGGGAAGGTCAGGCTTTGTACTGTGATCATGAGATCAGAAGCCTCAGCTGTAGTCAAGGCCAGGACTGGGGTGAGCCTTAGAGTGTAAACCCCAGTGTCTTATGACCAAGGGTGCAAAATTTAAGGAAGGGCCAACTTTCACAGTCATGCAAGCACACTATCAGCACTTGTGTAGGAGGGCCTCCTTATGTTAAGCCCCCCTGGCTCCTTTCTGACCTCCGCTTTGGCCCCAGCCCTGATAGAGCCTCTTCTGGGCATAATCTCCTATGGCCTTTGAGCAGAGTGGCTTCTCCCTCTTTGCCTTAGTTCCTCGATACATAGATAGAAGAGGCAGAAGTCTAGGTAATTCCAGAAAGCTCCTATTTAACACTACTGTCATGATTTTACTTCTTCATTGTCTATCTTTGCCACCAGATGGGAAAGTCTTGGTGCCCTTTGTTCCACCCTGGACTCCCTAATGAACACCTAGTAGGTGCTGGCTGTACTTTCTGCTGATGAGAGTGTGATGGCTGACAGAAGCTTTGCTGCTGCTGAGAGCATAAGCCAGCTTTGTGAGCCCAGACACCCAAGTCTGAGTCTAGTGCTGCCACTTAGCTGCTGAAAACTTCAGGTAGGTTACTAAGCTTCCCGTGTTTCAATTTCTTTCTCTAAGGTGAGGGAGCTCCCACCCCTAGCTCAGAGGGTTGTCATAACCATTCTCTAAGATTAGTGCTGTGGCTCTTTTGATTACTGTCATTATTACCTCTCTCAGCCTCAGGGTCCTGCTCTACAGGGAAGACTGAACACGGAGGGTGATTGTCATTCTAGACAGTCCTGCATCCACAGATCCAGAGTATTTTCAAGAGAAAAAAAATATCTATCTGGGATGCTGCTCCAGTTTCTGTAAAAACTCCCTTGAAGCTTCATTGATTTCTTGCTAAACATTCTACTCTAATTCAGAAGGGGGGAAAAAGCACTGAATGTAGAACCAGGCTCACAGAATGAGCTTATTTATACCAGAAAGTGTAGATAGTCAGGGAGTAACCCAGTATATCCTGAATCCCATGAGACTCTAACTCCAGAGTTATGACATTCAAAGTTCAGCCTAACAACTGACAGTCATCCCACATCAATTATAACATTTTGTTGCATCTCTTAAGCTAACATTAAAATCAATGAAGTTGATAATAAAGACCAATACTCTCAAGTCACTGTCAAGCTTCAAGCGTGACAACTAATCACTCCCTGACTACTTTCCAGGTCCTAGGGAGCAATCAAGTAATGCGTACAAAACTCAGAAAGGTGGAGATAAGAGGATCGCAGAGTCTGAACTTGGTTTAGATTGGAGAGCACAGGTTGGATGTGAAGACATAACCAGGTCATCTAGTATCTTCCCTCCCAATGATTTGGGGAAATCTGCAAAGTAGATATTTGCCTGCCTGTGAAGAGACAGAAATTTACTACCTCATGCCTTATGAGGAGCAAAAATAAAGAGAGAGAGAGAGAGAGAGAGAGAGAGAGAGAGAGAGAGAGAGAGAGACTAATATGAAGAAAAAAAAAAGAGAGAGAGAGAGAGAGAGAGAGAGAGAGAGAGAGAGAGAGAGAGAGACTAATCTTCACTCAGAAGAATAAAAAGAAGACTGCTTCTAGTCACCCTCTAAGCAGCCATACTTCCCTGGGAAACTGAGGGGAAGAGAAAGGAGAGGAAGGCTAGGCAGAGGGGGCTGGACAGTAGATAATTCTCCAGATGATGCCCTTTGTGAGGTGGGGGATAAAGCACGTACTGCCCAGCCTGGTATCTGTCATTCCTGACCCCCCACCCCTTCCCATTTTCATTCTTGTCTTCTGATCTTCAGCCTCTCTGTTCATGTCACTTTGAAACTGTTTTCCCAATTCAGTAACAGAAAAGCTCAAGAACCATGCAGATAAGCTAGGGCTGCATTGAGAGAAACCAGCAGAAAAACCAACAAAACAAGAGCTGTGTGCCTCTGCTTGTGTGTGTGTGTGTGTGTGTGTGTGTGTGTGTGTGAGCATGTGTGCACCTGTGTGTGCTGTAGAGGTGAGAAGATGAAGACATTTCATTTTAATGAACTTGGCTTCAGTCCAGAAGGAGCACCATGTAAATCCTAGTCATTGCTGCCAATGGACCCTTCAGTGATAATAGGAGCATTCTATATCTGCACCATGTAATACAGCAGCCATTGCCCTCTTGTGACCAGCAAGCCTTTTAATGTCACTAAGGCAACCAAGAAACTGAATTTTTACTTGTATTTTGTAATTAATTTTAAAGGCCACATGTATCCAGGGGTACCATATTGGAAATCACATTCTACAGGGTGAAATTCTTTAACAAAGAAACTCTTTTCATTCAGCTTTTCCCCAAACCCTCAGCATTTCACAGATCTGTCTTTAAGAACTGGCATGATGAAAAGATAGGTGTGGTGGGGGCCATTGTAATGGGGCCAAGTTGTGGCTTCCACATATTATTTATCTGTCTGTTTGTCTAGCTGTCTAACTGTCTATCTATCTATCTATCTATCTGTATCTATCTATAGTGTAATCTCAGTGGCTTAATCTAGAGTAATAGAATATATATTTTTGGAGATCAAATAAGACAGTGCCAATGAAAATTTCTTGTATTTTTAAAGTTCCATTCAATTTTTCCAGTTTTTTATGGGGATTAAGCAGCAAATCAGTCCCCATTCTCAATAGAGCCAACTTTAAGTGCTCAATTTACCTTCCATATCATTATCTAGGAAACTCAGATAAGTATTGAAGGGGACAGAACTGAGAACCAAGCAACCTCTTTTTTGACATTAATTTACTATCCATCTGAGATGAAATGTTCTACAATGCCATCACTAAGTGTACTCTAATTTATCCCATATTTTATGATCCTATCCACAAGGATATTAAGAGGAAGCCATCGCACATCTACATCAAACTGAGATGTATTTTATGGGTTTATCCAGTGGAGTATTTCAAAAACACCTATATTTGTTTTGATAGCTGTGTGACCCATTACCCAATGCTTAGAAGTATAAGACAAGATTTGTTATCTTGTAATTTCTGTTCATCAATCCAGGAGTGGCTTAGCTGGGTGGTTCTGCTTCAAAGTACTTCTTTATTCTGACCTCAAGTCCTCCAGACTACAGTCCTCAGTCACCTCAAGACTGGACTGAGGATAACCTTCTCCCAGGCTTACTCCCAGGCTACTGCTACATCTCAATTCCTTGCTAGCCAGGCCTGTTTGTGGGCTGCTTGCATATCTTTACACATTTCAGGTTCACGTCTTTTCTCCTGGGTCACCTCATGGCACAAGCTGATTGAAAGACTTGAGACAGAGGGACACTTCACCCAGGGTGGAAGGAAGCCACAGTCCTTTTATGACCAAATCTCATATGTAACATCCATTATTTGTCTCAAGAGCAATTCATAGAAGGTAAGTCCATAGGCCCTGGTATATCATGACTACAATTATAATGGTTTATACTTCTGCTGACAGTGGGTGGCAGGAAAGAAAATAGCCTTTAATGCAAGGCATGTCAAGGAAAAAATAAATTCACTGAAGTCTTGTTGGATGTAGCTGAAAGATGCCCAAGACTATACTCTGAGGGAGGGAACTGAGGTCCTAACTCTGGCTAAGAATGTGATTCCTGTAGTTCTTGCTGGACACATGGGACAGGTCAGCACCCCCTCCAGTCCTGGGGGATATGGTTAGCACAATGCCTAAGAAAATGCCAAGTCCAACATTGGGCTCTCAGTTCTCCCGCGGTTGTCTGGGCCCAGGCTCAGAACAGACACTGTCTTCACCTCACCAGGCTGAAAAGGAAGAAAAGGATGAGCCCTTTCTATAAAAGCTTAGCTGGGCTGGTCTTCTGAACAGGTGGGTTTCTTCAGGGCCATTGGGGAGAGGAGTGAGCAGTACTTCTGTTTCCCCAACAGAGCCTCTGTTCCATCACTCAATCTGACTCATGTGAATAGTGATTCCTACTTTATAAACAGCACAATCAGGGGCAGAGGATTTAGCTCAGTGGTTCTGTCACCTGCCTTGCAAATGCAAGGACCTGAGTTCCATCCCAGGTACAAAGACAAAAAACAAACAAACCAAAAACCCAGCACATTCATTCTTCCCTTTCATTGCCTCTATGAAAAAATACATTCCCTCAACCCACTGATGCTAGCCTTAGACTTATGGCTCTGTTGTCCCATGGAAGGAGACACACACACAGTCAGAGGCATGCACGTCTAGGCTTGCTCTCTTGTGCTCCTGCCTTGCACTTTTTAAAGGTCATGGCTGAGGGCCCACAGCTCCTACAGCCTGGGTTCTGGAGTAAAAAACAAGTAGAGAGGGCCTGGTCTCTATCCATAGCCTGAAGCAGAGCCCACAGTCCATTCTAAAGCTGAGAGTGAAAATTAAATGTCTAGTACTATAAAGCAGTGAATTTCAAGGCTTTGTCCATGGACTAAAGATCATCACAACTTGAAAATTTGTTAGAAAAGTAAAGTCTCAGCCCCCTCCAAACTTATTGAATCCAGTCTCTAGGAGTGGAGCCCTACCTAAGGCAATCCTGGGGCAGACTCCAGTTGAGAATTTACTGTTGTAAATCCCTGACATAGAGATTGTTGTCACAGGGAAAGCTGACTAAGACATCTACCCTTCAGGGTTGCTGTGAGAACACAATAAGATAAGATGTGAGACATTTCTGGAATGTGCTTCCTTCCTAGTCCTAAATCCGGGATCCAAAATCTTTCTTAGTCTGATCCACCAGCTTCTACGCCACCAGCCACTCACACTGGCCTAGGGAGACCCATTCTCCTTGCACATCAGAGCCTCCCATAAAAAGGTC